CTATTCTACTTGTATGGCAAAATTATATCTTTATTTTTATGACAGTAGATTTATTGAAAATTGTATAAACCTGGATATTTTTGCTTTAATTTGCAGATATATTGATGATTTAATTAGTATAAATAATCCTGAGGTAAATAATTTTATTAACACTGTTTATCCTTTAGGATTAGAAATTGAAAATACTTCAATTTCTGATGTAGAGGTACATTATTTAGATCTAATAATTAAAATAATTGTAATGATATCAATCTAAATGTTCTTGATAAATAAAAATATCTTTATTTTCCAATATACAGCTTACTCTCTTTTAACACTAATGTGCCCTACTTTTCTTGAATATGTATTAACTTCACAATTATTCGGATTGTGTAAAATTTGTAATAAATTATAATATTTTGTTATTAATGTTCAAATATTGATGCAAAAATTAATATTAAATAGATTTATTAAAGAAACTCTAAATTAAATTATTAGAATATTTTGTGTAAAATGTAAAGAAGTAAAAATTAAGGAGTTTTTGCTGGAAGTTTCTGATAAATATCTTTAGTTTTTAATAAGGTCGTTTAAAGAACTTGGCACTATTTTTGTGCAAATGAACAACTTATCACATATAAAGGCTCGTGCAAAGTCTGAAAAAAATTGGTAGTTACAGTGGACTTAATGGGTGGTGGTTGGAAGTTATACTAGATAGTTTAGATAACTTGGTCAGACTTTTATAACTCTATACTATTATAGTTTATCTACTGTACTAATTGAATTAAATTAGTGCTTTAATGGGGGCTGGAATGCCAACCTCAGGAGGTAAGTTTATCTTACTTATCCTCCAGTGGTAGTACCTTATTTCATTTTTCCTTTCTTTTATGTTGGAGAGCTGTCACCTTCCCACAACTGTCTGCAGCAGTGAAGGGTTATATAGATGTGGGACATTGTGGGCTTGACCACCCACATGTTGATCTCCTAACTTGTATTTGTTTTGATCATTTAATTATTATTATTTTCATTTTTTGAGTTTCTTCATGTGAGACTGGTGAACGGAGCTTAAGACTGATAGATCCCCACTGCAATGTGGGTCCTATTTCTACAGTCACCTCCAAAACCCAGGGCACATTTTAGCCTGTGCTTTGGGGATTCTTTTAGTTTAAGCAGCATTTTAATTTAAATTTGTGTTTATTTGGGCTTGTTTTGCTCATTACATATATAAGAAATACAGTGGACAACGAGTTAGTTTATTGAGGTCATTCAACAACTTAGAGGAACTCTACAGTTAACTGTACAGTAACTCCAGTAAATCAACTAGTACATGGTAGAAGCAATTCAAACAGGAGGCCTGCATTAAAGCTGTCTTTATGTATTCATTTTATCTTAAGAATTATAATGCTATATAGGAAGAAATGTTTACTAAGAAAGAAATTTTTAATGTGTGAATTACTGTACATCAATAAGATGTGTTAATTCTCTATTTAAAATAATTATGAATTTGAATAGTTTGTCCAAGTCCTGTAAAATATTTTTTTTTTGTGATTGAAAAAAAATTGTTTTATTTTTTCAGGTACGAGCCACAAATTTGCAAGAACTAGTTTACAAGAATGGACAAGCAGGTGTTACAAAGGCAACTGTATCAATAACATTTGATAACAACAACAAAAAACAGAGTCCTTTGGGTTATGAACAGTATGATGAAATAACTATAACACGCCAAGCAAGTATATTAAGTGTTTCTCAAGTCATGGGTATAGTTGTTTAATGTTTAAGTTAGAATAATGCTGTTTGAAATGGGGTTTTTCTGTTCTATACTTATTGATCTTGTTTAATACTTAAAGTCAAAATACGAAAATAAATATTGATGCTAATAAACATGCATTTCATTGAATCATTTTAAACATTCTGAAGTTTAATTCTACATTTAATCATTAATAATGTCATTTTCTCCTAACTATATAAAAGCCACTTTGTTCGTAATGTTTGCTTTGTTGGTAACATTCAAATTGGCTCAGTGGTTAGTCTCAGGCGGAAGTCTCGTATTCAAATCCCAGTCAAGTGAGGACTTTTTTAATTATTACCTCATTGTGTTGAAAGCAAGATCCTACAATATTAGGAAAAACCAGAATAACATGATTGTTTAAATTAGGTATTTCAATTATTTGTTAACTTTCAATTGCAAAGACTGGATGTCACAGTGGTTATAGCACTAGACTATCATGTGGAAGTCTCGTATTCAAATCCCAGTCAAGTGGGGACTTTTTTAATTATTACCTCATTGTGTTGAAAGCAAGATCC